GATTTACAGTCCGGGTATACTAACTACTAGCTTTCATAGCCTAGTACAACTAGATTTACAGTCCGGGTATACTAACTACTAGCTTTCATAGCCTAGTACAACTAGATTTACAGTCCGGGTATACTAACTACTAGTTTTCATAACCTAATACAATTAGATTTACAGTCCAGGTATACTAACTACTAGCTTTCATAACCTAATACAACTAGATTTACAGTCCGGGTATACTAACTATTAGCTTTTATAACCTAATACAACTAGATGTATAGTCCGGGTATACTAACTATTAGCTTTCATAACCTAATACAACTAGATTTAGATTCCGGGTATACTAACTACTAGCTTTCATAACCTAATACAACTAGATTTACGGTCCGGGTATACTAACTACTAGTTTTCATAACCTAATACAACTAGATTTACAGTCCGGGTATACTAACTACTAGTTTTCATAACCTAATACAATTAGATTTACAGTCCAGGTATACTAACTACTAACTTTCGTAAACTAATACAATTAGATTTACAGTCCGGGTATGCTAACTACTAGCTTTCGTAAACTAATACAACTAGATTTACAGTCCGGGTATACTAACTACTAGCTTTCGTAAACTAATACAATTAGATTTACAGTCCGGGTATACTAACTACTAGCTTTTGTAACCTAATACATCTAGATTTATAGTCCGGGTATACTAACTACTAACTTTTGTAACCTAATACATCTAGATTTATAGTCCGGGTATACTAACTACTAGCTTTTGTAACCTAATACATCTAGATTTATAGTCCGGGTATACTAACTACTAGCTTTTGTAACCTAATACATCTAGATTTATAGTCCGGGTATACTAACTACTAGTCTTCATAACCAGAGAAAATTCTTAAAATTTTTATGTTAAACGTTATTTGTAATGTCCTTCACATTAGTATGAAAACTTAACACCGTGGTCTAATATACGGAACTATGTAAATGTGTTACTTGTAAGGTTTTTCTCACGTTCTGTAATATCTTGAAAACATATGATCCTTAATACCAGAAAAACGTGCTGAACAAATATATATATTTGGAGTATTTATTTCACATTCTACAATACAAAGTATCTTGCCAAATATTTCAAATAGACAAGAAATGTATAATACTCACAAACTGACCGAATTTAATGAACACAAGTCAGCAGTGCTCTACAATATATGAAATCCCTTTACAGATGCTTCACACAACTCTCACACAACTATTTGGTAGTAAATACATGCAGACCAATAACGAATATTTTACTCATAACAACTTTAGCTCACGTTCTATACCACAGTACATCTTCACAACTCGTATTCCTTAATTAATACACGTTTAATCAGATTGTTAAACTCATGTTCTGTAATATATGTACATCCTCTCAGATTTCACACAATAATGAATGATGGTTCTTAATACAAGACAAAATATGGTAACATTTTCCACTAGTAATACTTAGCGCGTACAAAACCATGAATGTCATTTCGTTAAGAATGATCACACATTTCTTAATACTCAATAATCCACGAGGATTGTTTTATTCTGAATGTTCAACTTATGCTCCGTAATGCACGGAGATACTTAATACACTCATAAGCCGCGGAGAATGTTTCATTGTGAATGTTCCCCTCATGTTACACAATGCATTGAGTTATTTAATACAGACGTAAGTTGCGAAGAATGTTTCATTGTGAATGTTCCCCTCATGTTACACAATGCATTGAGTTATTTAATACAGACGTAAGTTGCGAAGAATGTTTCATTGTGAATGTTCCCCTCATGTTACACAATGCATTGAGTTATTTAATACAGATGTAAGTTGCGAAGAATGTTTCATTCTGAATGTTCAGCTCGTGTTCTGTAATGCACGGATACTAAATACAAGTAAAAACACGACAGATGAGTCACTTGCTGTTATCTCATGTTCAATAAAAGAGAACAACTTAGCAAGCGTTTTTTGTAAACTTTTAAACGTATTTGTATACATGTATTTCTCAGAATGTCAAGCTCTTATTATATAATCAAAAAAATTGGCGGTTGTTTCCTCCAATAAATGTATAAAATAGGTGTATATAAATTATGTAAGAGAAAAATCATGGTAATTATGTAGTTTGCAGTTTCATCTCATGTTCTATGATATGGACATAAGTTGTTTAACATATTAAAGTTTATTATATACGCATAATACATAATAAAACCATATTATTAAATATAAAACCATATTTAATAATATGGTTTTATATAGATTACGATTATTCTGATCAAAGTTTTTCATCAAAATAAGTTCATTCTGCGTATTAATATCCACTAGGTGAATTTTTATATTATTTTCCTTAAACTTATTCAAATATGTTTCGTGCAAAGCAAATTTCCTATTACTGAAGATAATATTAACCTCCAAGTAGAACAACCACTTTAGAAATTTGTTTTTAGATTAGTTGCTCTCTTCCTGTAAAGCTCATATTCAATACATTATATAAGTAAGTAAAATAATTTTGATCCTTTCCATACAGGGAAAGAGAATCTGATTATAAAGATGGATATATGTATAATGCTAACGTATTATATCATAACTAACATTTAGATAGAAACGTGATCTATTTTTACAAAAGAATTATCCGGTTATATGTCTAAAAACACATGTGTTTTGAGAAACTAACTGACATGGCTGTGAGCATGAGATGTCTATAAACATAGCTTGGTAGAAAACAATACAAAAGAGAAAAAGGTGTTTGTATTAAAAAAATCTAACACACACACACACACTCGATAAGCAATATCTCAGTGATTTGTGTTAGAACTCTAAGTACTGAGTAAAGGAAACCGAAAAGTTTAATGAGCTCGATAAGATTGCATGGTGTTTCTTAACGTTTATGTTAAAGTTAATATATGATAAAATATGTTTTTGTTTAGGAGCGTTGCGGATTGTAACATGACCAACAGTACTAATGATAATTGCACTTATGGCTTCACAATAATGCTGTTTGTTTGCATTCAAACCTGTAATACATTCAAAAGTCACTATATTTAATTTTTCCCGAATATATTATTCAGTTAAATGACAAAAACCAGGCATCAAAAAATTAAACCAAACCGAACCCAGATATATGTATATAGCTGTAAAACACTTCATATTTTGCTTGCCTAGTCTTAGTAATTTAGAAGCATGAATAAATATCATACATATAAAATGAGCCTTGGAATGAAATAGATTGATATCAATAAATGAGGATTTTAAGATGCAAATGTCTAAAAAAGATGGAAGTAACGTATTTTACTCACCCAAATTAGAAAGTCAGATGGTCTGGCTACATGACCCTCTCACGAAGATAATGTTTCTAGTGGCAACAGTGTTTCGTTAGATCACCTCAAGGACAAACGTGCTCTATCATTCAGCGCTGGTGTCTTGGATACCAGCAAAGACCTTCTTACCGCGACATATTGCACAGACGCTGGGCAGTGATTTCAACAGATCAGCCTACTAGTCCAGGACGAGCACAGAGAAAGGACGAGTCTTGCCACCAGAGTGATGCCTTGTAGACTAGCTCGCCGCGTGTCTCCTGCCAATCGTCGCATGCTCTCTAGTTTCCAGCTCTTAAAATACCGCAGTGTGGCGCCAGCTTCGGTGGAAGCTTAAAGGAGACGACGCGATTGTAAAAAAATCGTCCTCTAGCGTGCGTTTCTCCTAGCTTCTTTCCCTGACCCCTTGCAAAATATTTCTCCTGATCATTCATTGTATGATATAATGGAGGAGCTCTATCCATATTGTTTGTTAAGTCTATTTGTGTTAAAAACAGGATTCCAAAAAATTTGGATAACGATTTTTTAATATGTACTGTCCAGCTTGGTAGAAAACAGTTATTATTCTTTGTGAAAGTTATAGAATTGTGCTTTTATTTTTCACGTAAAATACACTGTTTTAACTGTGTAGATTATCAGACAAACGGGATGATGATGTATGTTTGATATATAAAAAAGGCTATTTGTTTAAATGATTTTTCAAACACGGTTTTATCTTATGTACTCAAGTGTGAAGTCATTATAACATGGTAATGTATCTGTGTTTTGCTTCTAATACTTGAGTTTTTCTAAAAGTTAATGACCTAAAAACAGAATTATATTCACTCTCGGCATACTTTAACGATGAAATCTGAAGCATTAGGTTAGTGTTTTCCCAGATTAAAAAATTATCAAAAGATATAACATTGGTGCATACATACTTATTATATAACATTGGTGCATACGTACTTATAATATTTTACATTTTCATAATAGGACAGACGTATTCTTCCACATAAAAATTCCCATGCTATCGGTCATTTGTGTCTCTTTGTCTGCCAATATCAAAATTCGATACTAATTTACTCATATATCCAATCAACTACATTTTTATATATAATCTCAAACTTGGTTCTCCTAGGCGAAAGCTTTGACGCATAATTTTCTAGACAGACAATTTGGGTTTGCTTAAGGGATTAATTTTATTCGCTGAAACCTAACATTCCCTTCCTTGTTATCTTGTGAAAGATTTAAACTTTATTGAAGGCCTATTTGTGAAATTGAATTTGTCTGTTTCTTCCCAGTTTCAGGTTCATTCTGGTTCTCAACTGAATCGTAAACTTTCATTTCTTCATGCGTCTTCTTTGGGTATTAAGTTTACCTCCTAAAGTGGTGGACGACTTTTTCCTTGGTTGCTTTTCTCTTCTTCTTTGGACATTGCGTTTATTCCTAGAGTAGCAGAAGACGTTTTATTGGTCGCTTGTTTCTTTTTTCTCGTTGGGTATTATGTCTACTCCATAGTGAGGTGGAACGTATTTTTTTTTTTACTTTCATTCATTACCTTTTACTTTCAATTCATTCTCTGTTCTGTAATGTTTTAAGAAAGATGTATTGGGTTATGATTAATTGTTTCTGATAGTACACGTGCGGATCCAGGATTTTCTTAAAGAGGGGTTTCAAAATTTGTTAACTTATAATTGCTATCATAAGATAGTAAAACAACCGGTCACCGTTTTTATTTAGTTTTGACACAAAACAAATATATCAAAGCGTTTTATATTTATTTCAACCAAATGATTTATTAAACAAAAATAATTTGTACATTGTAACATATTTGACCACAAAATCATATATATTAAGACATATGTCATCCCATTAATAATGAGAAAAAATCAAATTAATATTTATAAAGATCTTTCATAGATTTTAACACAACATTTCTGTGAATCTTATTTACATAATCCAAGATATATACAAAAAAAACGCCCGGAGAATAACCTGCGTTTTTACTTATTAATAAACATTTGGCATACTACTTCTAAATCAATGTTTATCATATTATTTATGCTTAATAGGGTGAGTCCAGCAAGTCCCATGCTGCTTCTTAGGAACGTCTTGACTCTACATAGGCATGAAAACAACGTTAAGCCTCACAGCTGCCAACAGGAAGAGTACATCCAAGCCGGATTAATGTTATAACACTTGGGAAAACATCATCATCTACATGTTGAAGAGAGTCTATCATGTTAAGCAAATTATGTTTGATGTTCTTCCCTTCTCAATATCAACTACATTCCTTTACTTCTGCTCGTAGTGATGATGGCTGAGGCAAGTCTTCCTCCCAAAACACAAGACCATCCAATACCTTCTGCAAAAGATTGTCCTCGGTATCTTACAGTAAGAAGAGCAAGAATTTTTCCACCACGACGACTTTCATCTCTGTAGATAAATGATCACAGAAAGGGATAGCAACATTTGTCAGGTAATATTCCTTGACGGAAACGTTTGGTGTATTTGAATGTTGTATTTGCCTAATATATTTTGGTGCCCTGGACGCCGAAGCATTGGTACCAACCAGTGTTGCCAGTCGCACTGCCTCATCAAACCATACACTAATTTCCTCATTTATATCATTTCTCAATGTAATTATTCGCTCAAGTGTTTGGTCTATCATCCAGTAATCATGATACACATCTAAATCACGTTTTTGAAGTTTAGTTGCAATTGGCTTGACACTCTCCAAAGTATTTTTGGCAACAAGAAATGCAATAATATTTTGGGATGACGTGAGGCTCTGGTTTCTAGGTTCAAAAGTCGTGGCGAAAAACCATGTGTCTAAAATTGATTCCAGATACTCACAGATATATTCAAATGTTTCATTGCACGTATGCTGCTCTACCTACCTGGTTTTAAACATCTCCACCAACTTTTTTCTTTTCACATCTGGAATCATGTTTGTTAGGCACCGTTCAGAAAAAAACGTTGGCGCAAGGTGAACTATCAAAAATAATGAACCCATTATTTAGGGTGTCAATTATATATCTTATGCCCTGCTAATCCTCTCACCATTACATGAACCCTGTACACCTAACCTATTTCGTCAGAAATTTGAATTATAAATTTACGACTGCCTGTGACTTTATTCCTGAGAATGCGGGAAAGGGCACAGCATCATATTTAATACATATATCAATAACGCCGGTGTCTCACAGGAAGTCTTTGACTCTTTTCTACATTTCCATAGATTTTTAAAGGAAAAAAGAGCTACGGACCCCCTGGACCCCCCTTTAAATTTGCAACTGGCATATTAAAGAGTGTACATGAAACAAGAATTCGAAGACAGTGGTTAAAAGGAAGCGTGATACATTGACTGCGATAATATTAAAAATTTACAATATGACTTAACAATGATAGAAAGAAAAGAGGTTCACCATAATAGAATGAGAGGAATAATAGGAATGACCAATAAAGAAGTAATATTTGCCTAAAGAAAAAATATTAAATAATAGAAATATATCAGCAATCTTTTTTTTAAGCATTCTAAATTAATTCTTTTCTATTATCGGAAAAATAATTCATTGTTTCAACCACCAGAAAATTTTTTAATCGGCCGGATCTCTTTTAAAAAAAACAAACTTGGATACAGAAATGTTTAGATCTTTAACTCTAAACAAAGACAAAAAAGTTTTCACTAATTTAAACCCCCAGTGGCACAGCGATATGTCTATGGACTTACAACGCTAGAAACCGGTTTGCGATAGCCGTGGTGGGCAGAGCACCGATAGCCCATTGTGTAGCTTTGTGCTAACTTCAAACAACAACACTAATTTAACTAGAGATAAAAAAGGTTATTTAGAACGAATATTTTTTGCTTCTTATCTAATTAATAACTGAACAAATATTATTTCTAGATTGATAGATGTACCTCTGATGTTGACTTTCATAACCAATAATATCTGCACAGGATTAGCTTTATTACCAATGTCCGATTTTAATACAGTTTCTGTTTTGTGAATATGACCTGTTAGTTACAATTATTATTATAAAAACTTTCCTCGTGTCTAGGAAAATAGGAAAATACTTGCGTGATTTTAGTCTTTGAAACCCTTTCATTAAAATACGCAAAAAATTTTAAAGAAGTTCATCCTCTGAGTATTACAAATAAGAGGGACATTGGAAAAAAGTGTATGTAATAAATAAAACATTCTGCTCTGTAATTTAGTTTCTTCAAAATCCGACCAGTTAAGTCGCACTATTGATAGAGGAGGATGAACCATTGAAAAGCTATTACTAAAAGGAATTAAAACAATCAAAATTTATTGCTAATGTGAGGGGAATACCATTATTTCACTGCCCCCCAGTGGCACAGCAGTATGTCTGCGGAGTTACAACGCTAGAATACGGGTTTCGATACCCATGGTGTACAGAGTACAGATAGCCCATTGTGTAGCTTTGTGCTTAATTACAAACAAACAAACTATTATTTCACTGCCCCTGGACTTACAACACTATAATCCGAGTTTCAATACCCATGGTGGGCAGAGCACAGATAGCCCATTGTGTAGCTTAATTACAAACAAACCGTTATTTCAAAACTTTTTCGGTACCTCAAAAAATATAGGTTATTTCTGTCTTATGAAAACCAAAATAAAAATACCATTAAATGAAAAAAATGAATTGCCATCAATTTTGTACTAATTTCTTCAGATACATGTTACTTTTTTCTGGAATTCTGAACAGTTGATAGTTATCACTTTAAACTAACTATTTTTATATATGATGTTCTTTTTAGTTAGTTTTGGTGTCAGTGTATTTTATGCAGAAGAAACTTATTAAAAATTCTTTGATTAGCATTTGACTGCTTTCATGCAGATTTTGACAAAGCTAAGGAGTAGCTGGTATGCTTGGACTGTGGATCCGAGGGCTTATAGTTCGGGGTCCGATGCCGTAAAAACGCTCTCCGCACTATAGGCGTAACGGTCAAATCCAACTATTCGGTCAGACAAGAATTGCTTAAGAATTGAAGGTTGGTACTGTTGAATATTTGCTTTCCTTCTAGCTTATCAGTCTAAAATCAGGGACGGCTATGCACAGATAGCCCTTTGTGTAGCTTTCTTTGAAGAGAAAATAAAAATGGAAATAAAAAATTACTCTTGCTGACATATGTAGAAAAATTAACGATGGAATACTTTGGACATATAATCAAATCTGAGGGAAAAGGTTAGCAAATATGTAGAAAACTAACGATGGGCTACTTTGGACATATAATCGAATCTGAG